ATTAAGTGTTTCAGATAAGCATCAGTGGAGATTATGAAATAAGAGTTTAAAATTTCTTTTCTTAAGGCCTAGATATTTTTCCACTGGCATTTTCAGTATTAACACTTTCAGAAAAATTTGTAATGGAGATATATAATGATTTTGAACCAGTTTTAAAATTGTGATACTCTGATGTGTTCACTGACTCATTTTCTGGTGATTTTATTCTTTTGTTGGAACAGCAGTAGTTTAGTTATAAAAAGTTGTACAGTAGCGGGGAAGATTCGAGTTAGATACTGGATTTTATGAATAATTGTCTAGCAGAAGAAAAGTAACTGGCTGAACTCAATGGGGGCTTAAAATGGTTTTATTTTAATTCCCCTCTAGAATTTTTGCGTTGGTATGATTCGGAAGTCTAGCATAGACTAGATGGGGAAATTACAGAAAACAAAATTTACGGTTCAACCATTATATATGGGAGATTAAAAGAGAAAGAACAGTTTTTTTTTAAAAAGTATTTGGGTACTTGTTAATTTATTACTATTTGAAATAATATAGCAAATTGATGTACAGTAGCTTTTATTGAACATAATTGCTACGTTTTCTAAAGGTTAATTTTCCCCTGCAGTTACTGTCTTGCAAGTAATTGAACAGAGAGTCAATTGGGCTGAGCGCACAGCCTCGACTAACACTCTGTTCCCAAATGTGGGCCTCCTCTTCTTCAGTGGGAGTTGCTTAATTCTGCCCATCATAGTAACCCACAGGGCAATTTTATCGTCATTCAGTGTTTCATGAGTGACTTAACAACTCCCCAGATTTTCCCGAGCTGAGTTCTGGCAGGCGAAACGTACCATCCTGGCTCATCCCGAGTGCAGCTCGCGCACTGTGAAAATTTACACTGTGCAAATCGCTCTTTTCCGAGTTATTTTACATGTGCTTTTTATGGCTTCGAATAATTAGAAAGTATCCCTCAATGGAATTTTATACAAAAAGAGGACGTCCTTCTGTTAAGCATCCACCTTCACGCTGGTCTACATTCCTTCAACAGAGAAGAAAACTAATCGAACTCGAAAGCTTATTATTTGCTCTTCAAAGAGAGGAAGCAAAGTGAAGAAGGAAAGAAGGCTTTACTGTCCAGATTGCGATAATGGGCTATGTGCAGTACTGTGTTTTCACATTTATCATACACGATCAAATTTTGATTCATAATTTCATAATCATTTATGTAAATGCAAAGTTGTAAATAAAATGTATAATTCAAGATAAAAGCTAGGTATTCTAAGCCTTATATTTATAGTTAGTGTGAATTGACTCCAAAATCTAATGATTTATCCCATACAGAAAGCAAACTTTACAGGTAAAGCACTTATTTATTTAAATAGATTTTTTAATATTAACTTTAAGAAAATTTTGTATTCGAATGGTGCTATTATGTTAAAAAGATTTGTTTGTTTGAAAGAAGCATAAAAAATTGACATTTTTTTATCCATAATCCAGAAATAAAATGAGCCTTGAAGGGGTTATTTTGACCAATCACTCACTGCTTTCTTGTCAACCTTTCCTATCAATCCTTGTCTTGTGTAAAATATTCAGGATTGTATGCATTATTTCAAAAGCACTATTCATAAAACCCAGAAATTCCTTATCACTTACAGGTAATATTTTCATCAAAGATTGTTTTACAGTGTTCACGTTTTTGCAAAAGCTATGACATAAATAGCGTTCAACACTGCAAGATTCTTCCACAATGTAAAAAAATCATTACTGCTCTCTTCCCCAATTGTGAGTAGACGATTTCAGCAATTATTTTATTTTTAAATTCATAAGTCCTGATGGCTATTTTATGGCTAATTTGTTTCTGAATAACGGAATGTTTACTATATTTGCCTAAATGCTATTCTGAATGTTTGATAGATTCTCATACTAAAACATCCATTGCGTGGATATTGCTTACAACCCGTTGCTCAATTCTTGTACTTTATTAATGTAACAAAATGAATTTTTTTCGTTTACTTATTCCTTCAACACTTCAAAAATTATATGCATTCTTTTTTTTATTCAACATATATCGCTATATATATATGGGAAAAAATCTGTATAATTTCTTTAAATTCTTCAAATCTACTGTTGTATGTCCTAAAAATGATTATTGCAAAAATGACTGGGATTTCTCTTTCTGAAGCAAAAGTAGTGTTTGTGGGGACTCTTTTTCTTTCAGGTTTAAACTAGCAATGATGGGAATAATAGTGCATTGACAGCTAGTACGCGGAAGAATTCCTCTTTACAGTCTAGTTGTCTAAGGAAACGATTCTTAAACTTTCGATCACCACGCCCCCTTCCCCTTTATGTATCTTCCTGACATCGCAAATCCCCAGATTTTGAAACCCTCCCCCCCTCCCTGATTCCAAACACATATGAGACACTCCCGCAGTTTTACAAACTTTTTTTAATGCTTCTTTTACCCTATAAGAAAACAGTAAACATCTAATTAAAATTACTGGCACTGTATGAATTCAGTTCTCAATTTTTGCACACGTGTTTCTACAATTTTTTGAAAATATTACGCTTTAATAATGGCTATATAGTTGAAAACAATAAAAAAAAAACTGAATATTCTTGATCGAAATACATGTTTTAGTAAAAAAATTTTTTATTGAGAACATTTGAGTGATCTAGTCTAGGATGACCCATCTTTCAGTTTTTCCACGAG